CTCTCAGCCTGTCCCCATGGCAGAGGTGCCCCAGCCCTCTGAAAAAAGGTTTTCCAGTGGCCTGTTCTTGGGGGGAAAAAAAAAGTTACATCCCTTAGAAGCAGGCTAACACAATGTCTGGTGTCTGCCATCGGAAGGACTGAGATGAGCCCTTTGTCTAGATAGATGGTAAAGATTTTCTTTGGAAGCACCTAGAAAACAGAACCAATCTTCAGTCAGGCTGGAAGGAATTCTTCGCTCCTTTCCCCAAAGTAGGCCTTACTGATACGGTTCATGGGGAAAAAAAAAAAAATAAGACCCAACCTGTAACTGTTTTTTTCTGTTTGTTTTGTGGCAAGATTACCGTGTCTCTCCTCTTGCTGCGCAGGTACCCAGGGTGGCATCAGACTGTATATGCAGGAGTTGATAACCATCACCCAGAAGGCTCTGCAGTCCCAGTCCTGGAAGATGAAAGCCCAGGGTGCAGCTGCCATGGCATCAATTGCCAAACAGACGGGCTCCCTTGTCCCGCCGCATCTGGGAATAGTGCTTTCCGCGCTGCTGCAAGGCCTGCCAGGGAGAACCTGGACCGGGAAGGTAAAAATGGAATGGGCACCTCATAGATGCAGACCTTGAGCCAGGAAGCCCAACGTTCTGTGCTGCATAGTAGCACGTGTGGGAACTCTGGCCTCGGGAGTCTGCCTTTTTCCCTGCATGTAACAGGTACAAAAAGGACAGGCTAAGAGGGTGTTCAGGTTGCTCTGGGAGTTGGGCTGCCGCTTAGACTACTCCACTGCTCTGTATTTTAGCCTTGAGGGGTACTAGCTTGTGCCCAGGGGTGCTGCGAGGCCCCCTTCCACTGCCAGTTCAGTGCACGTGGGAAGCCAAGTCCTCTGCGGCCTCTGCAGCTGGAATGGCAGAGCCAGACATTGCTTCTTTAAGTTCTGTTTCCCCAGAAGCTCTCGCAGCAGAGTACAAAGGGTTCCCCTGTGCGGCAGGACCGTGCTGTTTGGTTTTGTAGCCTTTCTCAGGGGTATCTGTTTCACTCGTTGCAGGAGGAGCTGCTGAAGGCCATTGCCAGCGTCGTCTCTGCTTGCAAGTGAGTGTCTTGAAAGAGGTGGTACCCTCAGGGTGCGGGTGGGCATCTCAAAAAGGAGGAGGTTATTGCGCAGCGTTGTTGCCTGTCTGGTGCTAAGGAGGCTCTAGAAAGTTGTGAGCACCATCCTGATCTCCCATCAGCATGTGAGGAGTCTGCTCAGTCAACGTGGGTCACTGGTGAGAGCTGGAAGGGACACGTGGTATTTCAGAGGGACCTGCAGAGGTAAGTGGTTGATTTTGGGCAAGGACAAGGATGTTGAGAGGCCAGAATTGCTAAGGGGAAAGAAGAGCCTAGGGGAAAATATGGACACCTTAAAGGGGGAAAGAGGAAGAGGTAGGAGTGAGGGGGAAGGTGCACTGGAAGCACATGAGGAAGGCCCAGGAGAACAGGGTGAGAGCAAAGAGCACCAGAGTGTAACTTCAGTTACACCTGTTGGTAGGCAACCCTGTACCTGGACACGGGAATGGCATCCTGTCCGCGGGACAGGCAGCGCCGGGGAAGGGATTAAGGTGGGTCTGATCGTGTCTGTGCGCCCCATGTTTCAGTGTGGAGCTGCACAGGTCAGTGCCCGGCCAGCCGGCTGTCGGTGACGTTGTCCAGGCTGTCCTGAAGGAATGTCGGAAGGAGAACCTGAAGTACAAGATGGTGGCACTGTGCTGCGCGGCGGGGGTGCTGCAGGCCACAAAGGAAGACCGCTTCCAGGAGCTGGCAGATATCGTCTTTCCCATGATAAAGAAGGTGACAGTTCAGCTTCTAGAGTTTTCCCTCTTTCAAAACAAAGCACCCAAGCGGTGACAGTCCGGCTGACGCTGTTACGTACGCACCAGGCTTGTTCCCAGAAGGCTGCTGGTGTGGGGAATACCCACACTCAGCCAGGCCCTCGGTGGGGCCGAGTACCCGACTGTGGGTGAGCCCTGGGAGGGTTGTGCCTTTGCTGCCAAATTCTGAATTAGCCAACTTTCTGCTAGGCGTAGTCCCTCCGGCGGTGTCCAGCACTGCCCCAGTACAGCATTAAGAGTTAATTCCTGGCGTCCTGCAGGCAGCAGGAGACTCCTAGGAAGCTGTGTAGAGCGTTTCTGTTTAGAACCTGCAGCGCTCTGCGGCCCTGCAGGTGGGACTCGCGTAGCACGGGGAGATGGGTGGATGCGAGGCCGCGGAGCCTGCTGTGCCCTTCCGCAGGCTGCCAGTAGTGCCAGAGCTGCCGGTGGTGGCCGGGGGGAGCTGTGCTCCGCCTGTATGGAAGCACTGACTGGGTACGATTGACTGGCGTGCGCACACTGCGAGGGAAGACTGAATTGCGGGGCGGCGTGTGGCTAGC